AACCAAGCCGAGTGAAAGTGTCTGACAAGAAAGTTGAATAGATTTTTCGCAGTATATTCCCTAGAAATATCTAGTAGGTGCGTGGTCACCAGTTTGGAACGAAGTATAATCCCGTAAGAAACAAATTCGCGTCCACTCGATTCGCCTGTCTCTCCCTTCTCCCTTCTCTCCATCATCTCTTTCTTTCTCTTTCTCTCTCTTTTTTTTCTCTCTTTCTCTGGCAATACCAGTGCATTCCTGCGAACTAAAAGAACTACAGAGGAGGATATGGCGATCCAGCTCGATGGCTCAACTTCTCCAACACGATTGTCGCAACGTGTATACTTCCTTTTTTCTTTTATACCATTTTTATAAAGCATTGTAATATTTACGCGAATTTTTCATGGAATTTACTGTTTTGAATCTTTAATATGGAGAATCATTTCAATCATTTACATAAATGATTTGATTTTTGCAAAATTTTAATAAGCTTATGATAAAAAGATTGATCATTGAATTTTTTTGAAATTTTATTGATTTATTTTTAGATCTTTAATAAATTCATTTAATTCATTAAATTTATACTTAGATAACAAATTTTTTTTAAATATTTAATTTTTTCTTTTTTCGGTATTTCATCAATTTATAATATTTATAATATTATGCAATTGAAAATTTAATAATACGATATTTCAAATTTTATAAAAAAGATTTCTAGAAGCAAATTTATAAATACATAAAAATTACCGAAATCTTAATTCCTATTGATCTATCAAAAATCTAACCAATTGCAATTCTCCAACATAATTTGCTCTTACTATATCACTTTTACTTCCTGTAATTATTGACACGCTATCAACAGACTATTAAGAATTCCATTACTTATAATTATATTTCTCTCTTTCATATACCAGATATATTTATCAATTCTCTTGTCCTAATTATATTTATTATTATATAATACAATATTATTCTTTCTTACAAAATCAAAATTTTCTAAAACCTTAAAACCTTAGTTTTAAATAATTCTTATGGAATCGAGAGTTACGATAACATGAGATGGTATTTCATATTCTTATATAAGAGAAATTATACGAAGGAATAAGCCTGTTAATATAAGTTCTCGCGACATAGCTGGAAGGGAGTTGCGATCAAACTATCGAATCACTGCATTTATTGGTATGATCGTAATTCGATTGTTCTTACTTTTCCATTTGCATTCATTCGATATAACAGGTTTCCATCGAAGGATTCGTTTGAAACCGGTCCTGCATTTCTAGTTTACACGTTTTCTGAAAGCATTTCTATATATGTTTAATAATTAAGAGCATTATTAATCACAAAATTCATACGATACCAGAGAGAAAAGAGAAAGCGTTTCGATTTCGAGAAGTCGCGACGCATAATACTTGCATATATGTAATGCATCTTGTGTGGTACACACGTAACTTGTTGCTTGACATTTAAGTCATCAAAGCAACGAAGAAAAAGAAGCGAAGAAAAAATATATAGAAGATTCGTATATGAAACGTATAATTCAAATTATATTTATCAAGAAGGCTTCTGCAATATTTTAGATTGAAAAATGCATAGATTAGTTCATCATTTATCGATCTCATATATTGATTATTGTGATTGCTGTTGCACTGATTTCATTCGCCTTTCTTCAGATTTATGTATAATTTTTGATAATTTTATCTTTTACATTTATTATTACAATTCAGTTTTAAAAGCCCTTGATGTAGATAAATTTTTTTCTACATAAAAATTTGTATTAATCAATATTTTTATGAATATAATTAATATTTTTGTTTTAAATTTCGAATATATATAATAAAAAATATATTATTTTGCAGTTGTTGGCATGCGTCACTGCGCTTGTTTCAGCTCAATTTAACCAAGATGATAATGTATCACAAAAAGGAGGGTCATCTTTACGATCAACTCGTTTTCAGAGATTGCCATCTGTTCGACCAGCAGTTCCAACTGCACTTGCAAATCAACGAATTC